AGCCGGTCCAGGTTGCATTCCCATTTGATCTGAATGCCGATGACGCCCCCCTGTGGCCAACAGGGGAAATAACGCTTAACCACCAGGACTCCTGGACGTTTCTAATTTAATATTTTTAATATTTGCTGTTGATTCTCAGGCTTTTCTGCATGAAGCACAAACATGTAATGTTTATCTACAGGATGAAGGAAAATATGCTGCATTTAAATCCAAAGTAACTGAAGTTAAAAAATGATTGAGCCATGTTTAGTTCTGTAAAATAATACATTTCATTCTTTACAGATTTTATGTTTTCAAAAGATGATTTCAGTTATTTATTAATTAGTGAATATTTTCCATCACTGTGGGAGAATTTGACTCCAGTATCTTTTGAAAATAGTTTAAATTAAACACTGGAGGGATTTTCTGATTTTCTGGATGATTTGCTGGTTTATGGTCATTTTAATGGGATTCAAGTTCAAACTTTAACTAGTCCACTCCCCATCATTTCTGTTCTTTTTCTTCATGGATTTTCTCCTAAAGTTTTTCCATTTGTTGTGTAAAGTCATCCTGAAGCAGCCCAGAGCATCCTACTGCCACCACCATGCTTCACTTTATTACTTTTTGGAGACGTCGTCACTTTGAACGGTCAAAGTGTTTTGAGTCGATGTTAAAGGTTTTTTCACTCAGCATAAAATGAGTTAATAAACATTCAGCTCCTGCAAGTCGGTTTTTAAAAGACGTTTAAAACTTATTGATGGGAGAAATGATTTTTCTTCAGTTGGTGAATAAAACCCATTTTAGTAGAGAGAGAAAATGAGAAAACATCATCATGAACCTTTAAACGTTCGCTGCCATTCGCCTCACAAACTGCTGCTTCCTGTTTTTATTTTTATAACCAGTTTCATTTCTCTCAGGACAAGCAGAGGTCCAACCAGGGAAACAGAACGGAGGTTCCTGCAGAGCGCCCCTACCTCCACGGCCATGTCGGAGAACTTCTCCCCGGCCTCTCGCACCATGTCTCCGACTCTGAAGATGGGGCAGAGCGAGTCGTTGCCTCTGTGGCAGCTCCTCAGGTAGGCGTCGTTCATCTGAGGGAGGATGTTTCTGCTGCCAAACAGAGTCAGAGACTTCAGTCAGGAAACGGCTGAATTTAACCCAACAAACATTTCTTCACGTTCTTTATTCCCAGTGAACGTTTGCTGTGCATAATCTGTATTTAAAATCTTTTTCCCAGGTTCAGAAAAACTCCCGCAGCGTCTGGTGGATCTGAAAACTTCAGAGTCTCACCGGATGAAGTTGAAGGCTGGAAATCTGATGTTGTTCTTGATGAGGACGGTGAAGTTTTCAGCTGCTGCCAGCAGAGCAGGCCTGACAAGAAAAATGTTTATTATCACATGAAAAACTGTAAAAGTCTTGAGTCATCTTAGCCAAAGCAGTTCCTGCATCCTGATCTACACATCCGAAGAGTTTCTGAGCTTCTTTCAAAAATAAATTCACTTCATGGAAACATCAATCTAAAAAAACATTGATGATAAAAAACTTTGGTGCTAGGATGAAATGTTGTTTTGTGAAATTGATTTATTTCACAAAACTGCAACAGAATCACTTTTATTTGCATCACATGATCAACAACCAGAAGTTACTACTGACGGAAATGAAGAAGCAGATGACAGGAAGTAGTTGGAGGATGAAGTTTAGTAAGATTTTTCTAATGTGAACAAACATATTCATGTGTGATTTCAAAAGGAATCCCTACTTAATAGAAACAGAGCTATTGTGCAACCAAAACGACATTCTCAACCGAATATATATATGAGGTAAACACAGATGAATAGTTTTTTATATAAAAAAACTTAAATAGAAACAGTTGGTGACCTTGTGGGGTTCGTCTGGGTTTCAATCGGACACCAAGCAGAAACTTCGCAGGTTTTCTTCATCACATCGAACCTGACGCAGGATCCCGTCTGAATCCCTGCAGGACAGAAACGTCCTGAGTTTGTTACAGCAGAAAGATTCCTGCAGCGCAGCCGAAACAAACTGAGCTGCAGCTGGAACTGGTTCATTCAGAGGAGGATTAATACAGATTCTGTGTTTAGTGACTGAAGCAGCTGCAGGACGAGCAACACTGAGGATGATTCTCTGAAACTGGATCCAGTTTGTGAACTGGTTCTGCAGGCGTTCAGTGAAACCAGTGGGTTTACCGTGACTCTGCTGGTCCCAGGCTCCTTTCTCACAGTCCCGATCCGACTGACACAGCCGGCCTTTAGAGGGAACCTGGGAGACAAACGGGCTTCATCAGGACTTTATTTTTTATTACAGTGCTGAAAACTTTAAATCAGTAATTAAAGTTTATTTATAAAGTGTTTTTAATCCTTTAAAGTGATTTTGTTCTGCAGGTTTCTAGACTTTTTGATTGTTTTAAAAGTTTTTACACAACACTCAGTTTTTATGTTCCTCTAATCTGGAACAAAGTTCCAGAAAACTAAGAAACTGCTGAAACACTGACTTCCTTTAGATCAGGGTTAAAAATCCATTTTTGTAAAGTTTTCATCATTTCTCTTTATTTTGCTGCTGTAATGTGATATTTTGGTTTTGGAAATAGTTTTTTGTTTTCGTCATGTGAAGCATTTGCAGCCGCCTTGTTGCTGAAAGTTAATTGACATAAAACAACAGAAAACAAAAACATTTAAAGTTAATATTTTAAGCACCTCTGCACATTTTCCCTGCTTCTGATTCTTCGTTATAATAACGTTGGTCACCACAAAGAAGGAGTTTCTGTCCTGAAAAGGGAAGAAGAAACAGCTTTCAATTTTTTCCTCAACAATATTTCCATTTCTGGACAGATGATGAGTTTCCCACCTGAGAGGAGCTGCTGTAGTCAGCCACGTCCCACAGCACGTCCCCGACCCCCGTCAGGTGAGTCTGAGCCACACCTTTCACCTTGGCGGTCACGGAGCTCACCACCAGGTCAAACTCCTGGTACTTCCTGTTCCACAGCATCATGACGCTGAGAACGCAGAACAGATCTTAATCACGTTCAATATTAAGGTTTATGCCAGAAAAAAGGAAAAAGGACTGCAGTAGAAAAGTTTGTTTGGAAAAACTGCTCCCTGGCAGCATGACTTAAGTTTGCACAAATGAATTAAAAGCTTAAAGATGATCATCCAAAACCTCCATGTCTGAAGAAAACCAAACAAACCAAAGCAAAGATCTCAAACCATGAAGCCATTTTCTGTTTATTTCTATTAACTTTTAAATGTTTCAGCTGTAAAAACTGTAAACAGTGAAAGTTTTTATCAGTGAACTCATTAAAATTAAGACTTACTTTTAATTGTGTTTTATATCTAAATTCTGTGTATTTAAGAGTTAATTTTGCTGAATTTCATTTCTACATTTTATTTTGCATTAGTTAATGCAGCTAATCATTAGTTGCATTAATAATTTGAAAAGTTTCTGCATCTTTTTCTATGATTTCAGCTCCAACTGTGCAGAAAAACTATTTGCTCAAATTTCCTGCAGGGAAAAACGAGCCGATTCTTTTACATGAAGGTTTTTAAAAACATGAATATAAACAGAACAAACGCAGCAGGTCAGGAGTTAAGGGTTCGGTTCAGAGCCGTTCAGCAGGGAAATGGAATAACGGAACCAGTGAAAGTGCGGCTGCTTCCTGCGGGAAGATGCGTGGGTGTGAATATTTCTTCTCACCAGATAAACAGCAGGATCGCCCCGTTCAGGCTCCATTTGAGCGAACCGAGCCGGACGCTCTGGATCCGGACCAGCTTGTTGGTTTGGTACTGACAGAGACCGAGCGGGTCGCAGCGAGGCATGCCGAGAGGAGTGACGGAGAGGCGGCTGAGTTCTGCAGGAGGAACCGCGGTGACTCGTCTTCCTGTGTGGACCGGGTCACATGTCCAGCTGCGGATCCTCACAGCTGCTGCAGCGTCTTCAACCACATCCTGATCAAATCGCCCCAATAGAGCAACTATTTATGATGATAGCTCTGAAAAATGGTTTCACTAAAATTTTAAATTAATGGTTGATGAAATACTTCATTCACAGGTTGAAATAATTAATTACCAAGAAAGAAATCAACTTTTTAGTTGAATTATTAGTTTAAATCAAATGATGCTTTCTGTTTTTCTGTAAATTCATAATTTTGTATCTGTCATGTATTTCTTATTCTCCTCCACACCGATTTTAATGGCCACTAGATGGCGGTATTGCACCAATTTTAATGGCCACTAGATGGCGGTATTGTACAGATCTTTAACTCATTTTGTGCTCTTCAGCACCTGGAATCAGATGCACGTTAGAAAACATCTACAAACGCAAAAACAAGATTTTTAAACGAAATACAAGATAGCAGCAGCATTTCGGATTAATTTAGTGTTTACAAATAATGAAAATAATAAAAATAATAAGCTAAAGGATTAAGAACAGATTATTTTCAATTGTAGGAACTTTAGAAGCTTTCAGATTATGATCATCTAGACCTAAATAGATAAAGTAGGAGATTTTACCAAGTATGTCTTATATGCTGATCTGGATAAAATGGACAAGTTTGGGACGAAGAGGGAAAAATAATGATGATAAAATTATTAAATGTTGCACTTTTCTCCTCATATGTAGTGGCTTTGACAAATGTTTACTGAGTTTTTTGCTGAAGGTAACAGAATTGTCTCCTTTCAGGTCCAAAGATCCGATGAAACTGTTTCCGTCTTCACACCTCAGGATATTAAAGTGCAAACTGGTCCCAATAACGAAGTTCTTATTTGCAGCAGAACGGGAAGATTGTGTGGAAAAAGTGACCAACAAAGACAGAAATTCATGGTTGCACACAAAGACGTCCTCTGTAGCTGCTGCAGGATTCACTGAGCTGCAAACAGGCGACGGACAGAGCAGCAGAAATCTGAATATATCGCTGGTTAAGGAATAATGTGTCCAACAGTAAGTTGTACTGAACTCCTGCCGTCAGGAGTGGCTTTAATTCACAAAATTAAAGCCATTTTGTGAATCAGTTCATGTTGTTCATGTTTTTATTGAACAGTTCTTAGTTCCAGTTTTAATCCCGTCTATAACTGGATGATGGTTCAGTTCTTTCAGACTAAACATTTGGAGGCGTTTTACAGAAACAACCAAACATCAGAGTTTTATTTCTGTGTTCTCAGCGGAAATACTTGAGGAACATCGGTTTGAGCTTGTGGATCTCGGTGTTGTTCTGCATCTTCTGCTGGATTCCTCTGAGGTTCAGCAGCGCCTCGTGGGCCTGGTCGAACAGTTTCACTCCCAGTTCCTTCTTCACGCGTTCCCTCCAGGCCGTCAGCTTCGGCCGGCCGTGGAACGGATCCACGCCGACTCCCAGAGGCTGCAAACACCAGCAGGAGTTGCCACATTCATTCATCATTGAAATGATGATGGCCATCAGTCAGAGTGGAAAAACAGACCAGATTAAAAAAGTGAAGCAAAATGATTTTCTCTGATGTAAATCCACATTTTTAAAGAAAATTACACACAGATCATATTTAAAATTAGTCTTTAGAAATGTAGACTTTAAATATGATACAAATCCTACCGGTTATTGTCAGGTAACAGATTAATTTCCTGTGTGAGTGAGAATGAGCTGCAGCAGTGAGAGCAGACGAACCAGGTGTTTGTATCTTTACCTGCATGATCTCCACCATGGCCACCAGATCTGCCAGAGAGATTTTATTCCCAACGATGAACGGTTTGTCCTGGAGGAATTTCTCCTCCAGCAGGTCGAGGGATTGCTTCATGTCCTCCAGAGTGGCGTCCAGCTTGTCCTTCGGGCCTCGGAGCCCATCAGGGGTCGATGCATGATCTGCCCCCAGAAATCATTCATAGTTAGAGCAGGTACTGTAAAAGATCTGAAACGATCCAAGAATATCTGCTGCATTTATTCTGACAGGTTTTTATTTAACAAAGCTGCTGTGGTCACATGATGGTCATCCTGCCATTATCGCCCAGATAAAGAACCTGGATATGCTAATGCTAACAGACAATATTCCATAATAGTCCTGGATGATACTATCAGTTGTTGTAGTGTGAGCTCTGCTGATCCTCCTCATTAGGCTGATCTAGAGCTGCAGTTCTAGATGTTCAACATTAGTTTGAATTTTACTGATTGACAATCAAACAAATATTGCATAAATAACTGCAATCAGACATGTTCCTGTGAATAATTGAGCTGATTTAAAGTGTGTAATGATCGGCGGCTGCAGCCTGGGCTGATCTGGACACCAACCCTGAGCAGGAAGACCTTTGAGCAGTGAGATCGGAGGTTCCGGTGCTGCCAGGACAAATATTCATTAACACGAGCGCGCTGCTGCAGCTCGGCTGGAAACCAGTGATCTGCCACCGAACATTTCTGCACCAGGTACTGCAGGATGGCAATGCTGCAACACACACACACACACACACACACACACACACACACACACACACACACACACACACACACACACACGCACACACACACACACGCACGCACGCACGCACGCACGCACGCACGCACGCACACACACACACACACACAGGTGCATAGAAACAGAAAATTATAAAAACTAAAATACATTTTGTTTGAGGAGTTTGGATTTTGTGAAAAACAGTTAATTCATAAAAAGGAAAATGGAAACACATTTTCTGAATAAGAAAATGAAGCAAACTTTCCCAGATGTGGTTAATTAGAGGCACAAAACTCTTTCAGTGGTTGTTGGTGCAGCGCCCCCACAGGTGAGGAGGGGAACAGGTTCTCAGAGAGTTTGGCTGATTTGACTCAGAGCAGAGAGAAAGAGAAACTCAGCAGGTGGAAATGTAACAAATGTTTCAGTTTTGTCCTCTAATCAAACTGAGTCTTCTGGGCTATCAGGGTCTCCAGTCCTACAGAGTTTGTCCTTTTAGACGCTCTCTGCTCCAACACCTGAATCAACAAATGGCTTCTTACCAGGCATCTGATGGCAACCTGGAAAGTTCATTCAACCTTTTGCCCCCTGTGTCTGAATATACCTCCATAACTCTAAATAAATGAAATGCTGCAGCGTCTCTTCTACCTTTCTGACAGAACGAAGCTGCCGTCCTTCAGAACCGGAGCTTTCTTCACCAGGTTGAGTTTTTCAAACTCCTCAGAGTACTGCTGCCCTGAAGTCAAAACACAAACCATGTCACAGAGACCTCGGATTCTCCGACACAGTTCATGTCAGGCTTAGGAAAAAAGAATAAAACTGTCTGACAATAAGGTCAAAATAATACAAAAATAAAGAAAGTGATTTTTATGAAAGTTATCCACAAACAATAATTACAAAGTGAACGAGGAATGTTGAACATCTTGTGAAGTTACATTAGTATCAAATTTACGAAACAGTAAAACTGTAATCTTTTAACATTTCAGCCTCAGATTCTTATCAGCAGCAGGACTTTGAGCTGATTGTGCAAACAGCTGTTTACATTTCAAAGACAAAACTACAGATTTGATGAATTCACCACGTCTTAAAAATTATCAAAACTTCTGTTCGAAGTTTTACGTTTTTCTTCTAGTTAAATTTCACCTTTACTCTGATAATGTAACTTTATCTGCATAATTTAAACATAAATCTCCAGGTTGAGCCCAATATTGACTCAAGTCAAAACACTAAATGTGTCGTCAACATCGGAAAAGCAACTTTCACTCTTCATGTTTTTACTTTATTTCCTCCAGTGATTAAATATAATCTGCCTGTAAAATCTGTCCATGGAGGAGTTAAAGCAGCGTTTTTACTGTTTAAACTGGAACTGGGTCTCCAGACTGACGGACCGTCAGCAGCTCACCCGCCAGCAGATCCACCAGCCTGAACTCATACGGGATCTTCAGCGCCTCGGCGAACAGGAAGAGGCCGCGGCACGGCGGGGAAAGCAGGTCCAGGTAGAGCTGCATGGTGCTGAGAGGCTGAGATGCTTCACTGCTGCACCTGTTATCCAAAGCACCCAAAGCCCCGCCCCTTCTCCCCGCCTGGGATCGCCACGCTGACCTTTAACCTCACCATGGGCCAATATTTTGTAAACAGACCACTGTCCAGAGTTTTCAGCAGGAATTTGGAGTTACTGTCTGGCCCAAGAGGTCAGACTGAACCATCAGAGCCACATAAAGACAGATACAAACTCAGCCTTCCGTCGCCTGAAGAACATTTCCAGGATGAAAGGAGGAAAGATCTGGAGAAACTCGTCCGTCTTCACAGGTTTGTCTGAAAATAATCAGCTGTCTGACTGATTTGTCATTTCATTTTTATTCTTATCATGCACCATCTTCAGTTGCATCTTGAATTTTGTTTTGCTGCTTGACAATAAAAAATAAATCTTTATGAAGAGAGAAAAGCTTCTTAATTTGGACCGTTGTTATTTTAGATGTTGAAAACTTAAATGGTGTAAATAGAGGCGATGCTGAACTTTAACCTGCAGTCACTCTGGCTGCTGTGGTTGAACCTAAACATTGAGAATAAACATTTCATCACTGTTCACAAAACTAATAATTAAACTGCTATTTTGACACAAAGCTAGAAATAACTGCCAGTCCTGTGAATTTTGCTGCATGAAAATGAAAACAGTTCATCAGTTCATGTTGTTCATGTTTTTATTGAACAGTTCTTAGTTCCAGTCTTAATCCCGTCTATAACTGGATGATGGTTCAGTTCTTTAACGTTTGGAGTCGTTCTGCAGAAACAACCAAACATCAGATTTTTATTTCCATTTTCTCAGCGGAAATACTTGAGGAACATTGGTTTGAGTTTCTGCAGCTCGGTGTTGTTCTGCATCTTCTGCTGCAGGCCGCTGGCGTTCAGCAGCGCCTCGTGGGCCTGGTCGAACAGTTTCACTCCCACTTCCTTCTTCACGCGTTCCCTCCAGGCCGCCAGCTTCGGCCGGCCCTGCAGCCCGTCCACGCCGACTCCCAGAGGCTGCAAACACCAGCATGAGGCGTCACAACGGAGGAGACGCTGCCGTCGCTTTCATCGGTTTAATTAGAAATAAAAACAGTTTGCATTCATTTAAAGAATGTAATCTTTAGTTTCCCTGTTTTACCTTTTAACTGACTTTTTCTAAAATGTTTTTCTTGTTCCTGTGTTTCTGTTTTCTTGTTGCAAAACCTGCAGTTTGAAGCAACAGTGGAAAAAAAACTAGAACTGAAAACATTTAAAATTTTCAAGCATCATTTAGTTTGTTTGTAATAATGTTAAGTTGTGAAAGTTTAACACTTTAACCAGCTTTAGCTCAGTCTTAGAATCCTTTTAAAAACCTTTTTCTTTGAAAAAATGCAATTAAATTTATGTAGTTTTTTTAAAGTATATCTCAATAATAATAATAATGAATTTTTTAAACAGGAAATTAACTCTGATGTGAAAAAACACAACATGCTGGAGGAAGCAGCAGTTTGATATGAGCTGGGTGAAGCAGCTGCAGCAGCAGCTGCTGCAGGTAACCAGGTGTTCATATCTTTACCTGCATGATCTCCACCATGGCCGCCACATCCGCCACAGAGATCTTGTTCCCGACGATGAACGGTTTGTCCTGGAGGAATTTCTCGTCCAGCAGGTCGAGGGATTGCTTCATGTCCTCCAGAGCGGCGTCCATCTTGTCCTTCGGGGCCTCAGAGCCCATGACGAACGGATACAGAGTCTGCCCACAGAAATGGTTAATGAGGCCCTGCTGAAAGCTGCAGCAGGTAAAACTACTAAAATAAAAACCATTCAGCTGAACGTTGATCTGAACTGATCTTACAGCTGTAATACCTGCAGCTCTGAGCCTGTTACTCTGAGTTTTACTTTATTTACTGATTAATGCTGCTGTGGTTACAACATTTACTGTGTTTTTAAACATAAAGTCTTTTTCCATCTTTCTTTGCCATCAGCTGAATTAGTTTTCCTGCAAGTCGATCACTGACAGAGACAAAGTGATATTTGGATATAAATACCAACTTGCTCATTTTAATCTAAATTGATAACTTTGATAATTAATGCCTCTTGTCATTTTTATCAGTTTTCAAAGCCAAATCAAATCTATTGATGAAAAACATCCAATTTGTGGTTTTTGACATTTAGCATTATTTTAACTTCACTGAGTAACAACAGTTTGCATGAATGGCTGCAGTCAGAAATGTTCCTTTGATTATAGCAAAATAAACATGTGACGTTATTAAAAGTGTGTAATGGGGTAACTGATCGGCGGCTGCAGCCTGGGGCTGATCTGGACACCAACCCTGAGCAGGAAGACCTTTGAGCAGTGAGATCGGAGGTTCAGGTGCTGCCAGGACAAGTATTCATTAACACGAGCGCGCTGCTGCAGCTCGGCTGGAAACCAGTGATCTGCCACCGAACATTTCTGCACCAGGTACTGCAGGATGGCAATGCTGCAACACACACACACACACACACACACCCACGCACAAACACACACACCACACACGCATGCATGCACACACACACGCACAAACACACACACACACACACGCCCACACACACCCATGCACGCGCACACCCACACACACACACACCCACACGCATGCATGCACACACACACGCACAAACACACACACACACACACACACACACACACACACACACACACCCACACACACACAGTCAATGCATCAGAAACAGCAGGCTTGTTCACTAAGACCTAAAGACATGAAAAATATCTGATACATAATCTGTCTGAACAAAGAAGGTTTGTTTCTGTTCCTCCACCATCAATTATACTGAAGTATTAATACATTCAACACTTCAAGTTAATTTAACTCGCATGCAAGTAAAATGCAGTCAAGTCCTTAATAATTGATTTATTTATTATCAATATAAATTATCCAATTGTGAATTAAAAGACTGAAGAAAATTCTAAATAAGTCAAAAAAAGCAAGCCTAATTTTTACAACCTGAAGCTTTATGAACCATTTCTGTCGGATGAGAACAGATCAAACTTCTGTGCAGGATTAAAGAACTTCTGCTTCAAACTTTAAATGAATTTAATTTGCATCATTTTATTATTTATCATGAAGATTTAGCAGCATGGATTCTCTGCACATATATTGAACAAAAAGGATTTTTCACAATCAAGTAAAAGTGCCTGAAGTCACCACATTTGGATCTGCGCAGCAGATATGCAAGCAAATAGAAAAAAATGACATTAAATAAATAATCAGTGCAACGACTTGCAAAAGTATTCCTGCAACATTTACTCAGCTGCCAATCTGTGCAAAAACCAAACAGGAAACAAAGCAAACAGATTCCTACAGGGAAGAAGCAGTTTGTTAAAAAATAACTGAAACCTGTCAGTAAACCTTCATTAGAAACAGTTTAGAAGTGTTTGTTTTATTCCCTGGTTTGATGTTTTTGGGACATCAGGACATTTTGCAGGATTTAAACAGGAAATGGGCTGAGAGAGAAGACAGAGTCTGCAGCGTCTGTTTCTGAGGCGCCGCTGCTGCAAAACACTTCGCTTTGTTTGTTTTAGTGGAATAAAATGCAAACAGACAAAGTAAATATCTGAACTTAATGACCGGAGAATCTAAATAGTTCAGAACGGAAATAAGAGTTTAGATTCAAAGACAAACAAACGGGTCTGTTACTGGATCATTACAAAACCTCAGGCAGATTTATGGAATGTGAATAAATATATTGGTGTTTATAAGATCCTTGATTCACTTCACGTTTGTTGATTTTCAGTTTTAAAGCTCTGCTGGAGGAGAATAAGACACCAGTCCGAGTTCTCCAGGGAAGTTCTGCTTCCTGTTCTGGATCTGAACGTTAAATATGAACCAGCTGCTTTAACTCTGTGTGTCTTTACATTCCTCTGCTGGAGTCCTTCTCTTGTTAAATACTTTCTAAGAGCAGAAATCTGAGGGGAAATGTAACGGGATGAGTTTCAGTTGAAACTGCTGCAGCGTCTCGTCTACCTCTCTGTCAGAACGAAGCTGCCGTCCTTCAGAACCGGAACCTTCCTCACCACGCTGAGTTTTCCAAACTCCTCCGAATACTGCTGCCCTGAAACAGAAACACAAACAAATCCCATCCAGCCGAGATACACCCAACAGATCCAGAATCAAAGCATCAAACTAACTTTTACTCCTCTGATGTGATTTTTAACGTTATTTTCCATTTGGAAAACAGTTTGACATGATGAGAGAAGCAGAGCTGGAGCGTCTGGCCAAGGAGGAGTTAAAGTAATTCACTGTGTGGGAGCTGAGAGCGTTCTGGGTGAAATGTGAAAACGCTGACAGCTCACCAGAGGCTCCGTTCTGTTACACCAGAACCGAGTCGTCAACTCAAAGACATTCAGCACAAAGTTCAACTGAATGATAATTTCCAGACAGAAATCCTTTCGCGTTCCTGCAGCTCAGTTTGGATCTGGCGGCTGTAACTCACCTGCTGAGAGCTCCACCAGCTTGAAGGCGTAAGGGATCTTCAGCGCCTCGGCAAACAGGTAGACGGCGCGGCACGGCGGGGAAACCAGGTCCAGATAGATCTCCATGGTGCTGCGCGGCTGCTGATGCTTCCTCTGCTCCGGCCGCGCCTGTTATCCCAGCTGCCTGGAGCCCCGCCCCTCCTCGCTGCACAACGCGCCGATTTCTAAACGGCGCCGACAGTTCAAAGTATACAGGCCGTCTGGGTTGACCAGTCTGACCTTTGACCTCGGCTTAGTCCCACATTTTGTAAACACTGCGCAGATAATCGCGTTTTTATCTGCTGTGACGGGCCTCTGTGATTGGACTCCGCTGCCTTTCAGGACGAGTTTACAGAAGTAATTAGACGTTTTTGTCGGAGACATTATGAAGGGGAAGAAGATCATGTTGTTGCAGCCTGGAGCGCCCAGAGGGGCTGAAGGTTAATGACGGAGAATGTTTCCCACCTGATTAACAGACGCTCTCATTAGTTCGTTCATGGTTAGAACCCTGATGATGATCTGAGGGACTGGACTGGTGCAGCTG